GCAGCGCGCGGAGGGGGAGCTGTCCCTTATCCTAGGCAGGGCGCCTGGATTGAGAGCCTGTTCTGAAGATTCAATAGAGTATGGCCTTCCTGGGTGAGAAGGCTCGGTGTTCAAGCAGTCGTCTGTGTGGGGAAGAGAAGAAGATATTGAGCGAATCGCGAAGACAAGTGGTGGGTGGTAGATAGAGCACGTGACCCGAGGCCACGTGACTCTAGGGTCCAGCCTTGATATCAGGATCGTCACAGGTATCATTGTAGCCAGGGTGGTGTTGAAATATAGGTATATTTATATATATATACATTCATATACATGTCATGCTTCGATACTTGCTGATGCCTGAGGACGATAATGGACATGTGATCGATCGATCGGATCGGGAAATGCTCAGCCAAGATGGAAACAGTCCAGAAGACTGGAGGATCGCATCACCATCGCAGGACAGCGCCGAATCATGATCACCTAAGTTTGGATCTTTCCATTCCATTCCTTAAGAGATAAATAATGCTGACTGCCGCCAGAGCATTCGTTCTCAAGCTGAGAGCTGTCTGCTTCATCACCGCTCCGAGCGCTACAATGCTGGACCACCTGGGCGTACTCTTCGCCCTGATCGCTGTCTTCAGCTTTCTGGTTGTCAGATCGATCTATCGACTGTATTTCCACCCTCTCAGTGCCTTTCCTGGTCCTCGGCTAGCTGCCATCTCGCACCTCTATGAATTCTACTATGACGTCATCAAGGGAGGACAGTTTCTTTTTCAGATTGAACAAATGCACCAGAGATACGGTATGTTACTATCATCCGAAGAAAGATCGAGATGCTCATTGAAAAGGTCCGATCGTCCGTATCAACCCTCGAGAACTCCATATCAAGGACCCCAGCTACTATAATGCCATCTACGCTGGCGGCGTCCGCAAACGCGACAAGGACCCTCACTTTGTCCCCATCTTCGGCCTGCCATCGTCAATGGTCGCCACGGTCGGGATTCAGCATCATCGCTTCCGCCGAAATATCCTGAAGGAATTCTTCTCCAAGCGCTCGGTGAACGAATTGGCGCCAGTTGTGGAAGAACGCGCCCTGAAGCTCATGGAGCGGTTCGAGGAGGCGTATCATGACCGCTCGATCATTCGCCTTGATGCCGCTTTTGCTGGTCTTGCGGCGGATGTGATCATGCACTACTCCTACGGCAAAAGCTGGGGCTTCTTGGAGGATCCGGATTTTCGCAGCGACATCTGCATAGCTGTTAATGAGGCGATGAGCTTCGTGCATGTCAACCGGTTCTTTCCTCTATTGGCGCCCTTGGTGCGCAAGATCCCCGCGCGCGTCATGTGTACGATCCGTCCGGCGCGAGCGAGTCTGTTTGAATTCCAGCAATCCGTATTCGACCATGCTGCGCGTTTGATGAAGGAACGCGAAAGTGGGTGTAAAAGTCCGAACGGGGGTCGAGGGAATATCTTTGAGAAATTGGCGGACCCATCCCTGCCGCCGGAGGAGCGCACTCTTGCGCGATTACAAGACGAGGCCTTGATGTTGCTTATTGCCGGGACGGAAACGACATCGAGGGCTCTAACGTTGACTGCTTTTTACCTTGCGCGAGAACCGGAGTTGTGGAGGAAGCTGCGGGAGGAACTGCGGACGGTTTTGCCAACGCCAACGAGTACGGCTACATGGGCGCAACTTGAGCAGTTGCCCTACCTGGTAGGTTTTCCACTCATCATCCTTTCGACGCGCTAACAGGTTAGACTGGCGTGGTGAATGAAGCTCTTCGTATGTCGTCAGGCTTAATCATCCGACTGCCTCGAGTATCTCCTACTGAACCACTGCAATATCAAGAATATGTCATACCACCGGGTGTAAGGGTCTAGTATCAAATCTTAGAAGAGACATATTCCTAACTAGCTGAAAGACACCAGTGAGCATGTCGACCTACTTTGTTCACCAAGACCCCACCATCTTCCCCGAACCGCAGGCGTTTAAACCCGAGCGCTGGATACAGCCGGCGGACACCACTGAACGACTCACTCGGTACCTGGTAGCTTTCAACAAAGGTAGCAGGGCGTGTCTAGGCATGAAGTAGGTATCCTCCCACAGCTCAAATGGCGGATGCTAATAAACAGTCTGGCGTACATCGAACTCTTCATGACGGTCGCCTACTTTGTCCGTCGCTTTGACATGGAGCTTTATCAAACTACCGAGGAGAACGTCCAGGTCGTCCGGGAGATGGGCATGGGTTTTCCCAAAGATGGATATGTCACTGTCTATGCCAAGGTAACGAATTTGGTGCAAGATTAGTGGTCACCATTCGTTATCTACAGACATAGAACATTCATATTTGTCATCCTTCAAGGACTCGATCTGTCATATAAACTACCACCTTATTTCTCGACTATCCCGGCCGTCCAGGTCGATAAATCATCAAATCGCAGATAAACCTCATCTACCATTTGGCTCGCTCGTCCACAAGCCAAGCGCTAGTCCCTGATGTCGTGAGGCAAGAACAAAGACCGCGGGTGTTTGATAGCCACGACAGCTTGACTTCGACTGGAGGAAAGATTTGCAAGCAGCCGGGTCTTACTAAGACAATTATTGATGGACCCTCCAGTCAAAGCAGTGGAAATACTGAATTTCACTTCATCGCATGTCGAAAGCTGCTCTGTCAGTCTGTCTGAGAACATCTATGAATTGACCAGCGCCGCAACCTTTGATGTTAGTCTGGATCAAACCAACATGACTGTTCATCACAAAGGTTTTCTCTCAGAAGCAGACAATTTTTCGGTCAGTCCAGACACTGCAGGGGATGGTACAATTACAACGTCGCAGCCAGTTCGCTTTGTCCATGAGAGGTATAATGGGTGTGGAAACGGATGCGTTGGGACCGGAGTCAAGAGGACCAGGTATGAAGGCTACTTCTCTGGTCTGTTCTTCCATGTATCCATAGACTCTGGGTTACCAACCACGGGTTGACTGAGTTGAGATCAAATGTCCGACTTTGATTACTTGTTGTGGCTCATACCTCAGTCTCATGTTCAACAGACTTTTTGTTCCTACAGCTCTATGATATGCCACATTGGCCGTCTGTCATAGTACCGACAGAATCGAGCTTCCAGATGTTTTCGAGAGCACAAGACTAATTTCTAGGAGTGATCCCTGATCATCCTCAAGTCCGAAAATAGCACTTGTGCCAAGTCCAGCGGGCTGCCTATCCGCATCGTGTCCCTCCGTAAACGATGCAGATCGGCCCCAGATGCTCGTATTCGATGGTCTAATTTACCATTCGAGAGGCTAATTATCAATTGACCAGAAGCTATATAAGCTGCCGCTCTCCTCGTCATGATGATCCAAGCAATCATAAAATAAAATGACTCCCCTCATCAAACTCGGCAGCCTTTTGGCATTGCTCTGGATTACCTTTGGCATCTCCACAGCCAACGCCAGCATTCCCTCGTCCAAGCGCTTCGATCTCTCCTCTCCCTCCTACGACCTCTACCGTCACAAAACCCTCCGCGATGACACGGTCCAGCAAGGATTCGCCTTTGACAACGTCAACCGACGCCTGTTCGTCGCACAGCGCTGCGACGGGACCTCCGAAACAGCCGGCGACCTGACAATCACCCAGCTCGACTTTGCCGGCAACTACGTCGGACACATGTACCTGAAGGATTTCGGACACGGCGTCTCCTTCGGTGCTCAGGGCGTCGGGTCTGCCACATACCTCTGGACCGAGGTCGAGGCCAACAGCAACGGGTACGGCAAGAAACTCGCCCGCTTCAAGTTCGCCTCCGGCACCATCCTGACCAGCTCCGCGGCTGGCCTGGCCAAATTCAAGCCCGTCGCGGATGCAACGGAGCATACCTGCGCCATAGACCCGGTCTACAACCGGTTGATCGTCCGGTATCACCTGAATGGGGCAAAGCATATCGCCGTTTATGACCTTGCCGCCGCGACGAGGGGCGACTTTGCCTCCCCGCTGGCCAACTTCAAGCAGCCTGCCTTGAATGCGCTGTCGTCGACCTTCCAGGGGTACACGGCGTACGGTCAGTATTTGTACCTGTTGACCGGGACTTCGTATGCGGCTAGCGGAGGTAAGGTCAATTCCGAGGTAACCAGTGTCGATATGAACACGGGCAAGGTGGTGCAGGGGCCAACGCTCACCAAGGCCGGTTCGACGCTGGAGTTTAGAGAACCGGAGGGGTTGGCGATTTACAAGACTGTTGCTGGGGAAGTGCGGCTGTTCTTGGGGTTTGCGTCTGGGGTTGCGGGTGATCGCAGGTCGAATCTGTTCTACAAGAATGCGTTGGTTAAGTGAAGCTGTTTTTGCGGATGACGGGCATTCAGTTAAACATTTAGTCGATATCTTGCGAATGATTTCATTATAGACCTTTTGTGCTAACTAGTGTTTAATAGATGAAATTGCCCTTTCCGAGGACTGAGAATCAGAACTATCATCGGATTTGCTTGAAGCAGCTATGCAAATCGTCGAGTCTCATCCACATCTAGCATGCTCAATTGAACTTGGACGAGCACATCGGATCGTGGCAAAATATCCCCAAAATATAATGAGCAACAGTCATGATGAGGGCGTTGTTATGCTTCAACTAGAACGCCTAAGAGATATGGGGAGACCAAAACAGTAAGCGAGGGGGTTGTGGGGGACATGCAGCCAGGCAGCCAGATGTTATTTTACAGCTTCAATGACATGTTACAAAGGACTGTTTATTTGGAGAGGCTCAAAACCATTCGCTGAAGTTGATGTCATTCCGCATTCTTCATAGAGGCTTGACTGGAATGCTGGCAAAGCGTGGCGTGGCCGCATTCGGTAATCTACAATGTCGTTAGGGTTTGTCACTTTCTGCCTCGTTTTCAAACAAGTAAATGACGTATGTACCGTCGATAGGGCTCGTTGAGACGATGGACGTCGACTAAATGCGTCATTGCGTTCCTGTGGACTCCTCCCGCATGAAGCATATCTGGGGATAGTTCCAGGTCTGATGACGTGGGTCCTCGGATGCTTCCTGTGGAATGACGTCGGCTAGTGTATAGTCTGTGTGTACATTATCTGCAGTAGAGAATGCAATGCTCTGCGTCAGGTATACATACGTCGTTGGGCGTGGACGCTTGCATGCGGAAATCACTCCCGAAGCCGTTATCAGCACGAGGATATAAAGAACTTGTGGGACGACATTCTTCCAGTGAGACACCATGAACAAAGATACCAGACAAGATGAAGATGACTATACCATCGATTCCTGAAACTATCCCCGAGAACTCCGAGCTGAAAGGCAAAGCGCCCCTGCGAGATATCTCTGGCATTCCCGCCAACCCACGACAAACTATCCGTACTCCCTCTTGGGATCTCACGTCCACATGGCTGATCGGCGCCAACGACGACATCCGTGCCTGGTGGGACTGCATCGGTCTCCAAGTGGCCATTCTCGCCGATGAAGCGGGATACAGCGTGGCTGCGCAGACGGAGATCCTCTTGCTGCTGCACTCCATAGTGCTATCGAATATGGGCAGATTCCCTCCAGTAGTACAGGGCAGACCAGCCGTGCAGTACAGCTGGAAATTCAACACGGACAACTATGACCACCCGGTCATCACCCTCACCGTTGAAGCACCCGGTGAGCATGCAAAGGGCTCCAGCAGTATGACCCGTCACCATCTCCAAGCCACGCAGAGTATTGTGGAGCAGCTGTCTGCGCAACTACCCCCGGTCAGCCTCAAATGGTACCGGCATTTCATGGCTGCGTTCCAGATTGACCATCATACGGACCACTCAAGCCATCACCGGACGTTTCTCAGCACAGATACCACCCGTCCCCGGATGCCTCTCTCTTTCGAGTTTACAGACACCGGCGTCATCCCAAAGGCCTACTTCTACCCTCCTGCGCAAGCGCACGAGAGGAAACCGTCACTGGCCATATTCACCGACGCTATCCGGCCCATATGTGAGACCAATCCTCTCCCAGCTTTTGAAGAGCTGGTGGCGTTTGTGAATAATCATCCAGTGGGGGTGACTCTCAACCCCGAGATGCTGGGTATGGACTGTGTCGAGCCCGCGCAGTCCTCGCTGTATCTCCATGCGAGCACGCCGGTAACGAACTTTGAGAGCATCATTGCCATCATGACGCTCGGTGGACGCGCGCACGGGGTGGATATGGCGATCATGGAGCTGTGGGAGCTGCTGTGTTTGATCTTGCGGCCGAAGAGTCGAGATAGGACGTTCTCATGGGGCGATGAGTTGCCCGTGTGGAATGTACATGGGCAGGACGATGAAGAGCAGGGACTGAAGTACTGTTTTGAGATTATGCCTGGATCAGAAGTTCCCGAGGTCGCCATCTACATCCCGGTTGTACGATATGGGCGGGCAGATGAAGATGTGGCGATTGGATTGGAGAGGTTTCTGAAGAAGAGAGGACAGGCGCAGTTTGCCGATGGCTTTTGGAGGGTCCTAGATATGCTGAGTGAGGGTATCACGGATTCTCGACGGGTTGTAACGCATATCGCGTGTTCCCTTCGCGGTGAGTCATTAGAGGTGACTTCGTGCCTGGCGCCTGGGATTCTGCGCTCGCGAGAGGATTGAGATGATTGACGACAAGATATGTTGTCCAATATGATATGATTAGTGAATAATCTGCAATTTAATTGCCATTTCAATCAACCTGGTAGGTTGCCTGCGTAGCTGCCGGTAGATCTCCAATTTCGTTCATTGGATAGCATGCCTCCGTCCCAAGAGGAAATATCTCATATGCTCTGCAGGTAGACCACCGGCATCTGTCGGCGAATGTGATTGTGAGTAATGACAAAATAAACTCTCGAGACGTTGCATTAAAGTTGTGTCTGCGGGCGATCATATCCAATTCCTGGTTGACCCTATCGCCATGAATTGACTGCTCATATTTGGACGGAGCTAAACTATATATCGTTGATCGATAAGCGCCGGAGGTAATACAAGCAAGCATGACGGAAAGAATCCGGGCTTTGGTTCGAGAATCTTGGGATCCTGGATAGTCATTGCATGCCTAGTCGGAGGATTTGCCTCTTTGAATGAGATGGTCCGACATGCAGTGACGTGGCCTGATCTGATGGCACCTCAGCATGCATGATAGCAGTCAATGAAACCAAATATTGTTCTAGCAACAGCATCACAACTCAACTGGCGTCTCGTCCACAATAGGAGATTGATCGGTGTTTTTCGTCATTCCACAAGCCTCAACTCTGCCTCCAGCAATTCATCGACCGCAATTAGCTCTCCGAGAATCTGATCTAGGGCAGGGCAGGGTGAGGGGCAACGGCTCGCTAAGAATTAGCAACTTCAGTAGACCAATAACGGCATCCTCGACGAGCTGGCCAAAAAGAAAACGGACACTTGCGTCTTTCGGCCTGTCATGTCGACGTGGGAGGTGGAGGGTCTCGGCGGGTTCGCGGGCTCTGATTGCTTTGGATGATTAGCTACTTTAGGCTGGTGTCAAACATCCCTGCTAGATGTCCGAGTAGTGCGAAACGGTTTTCTTAAAGGATGTGCTGCTCCGAGGACCTTCTTTGTGTTCAGTTTTTATCCTCGCGTGATAAATTGTCTGAACAGAATGGCGGCAGAAAACGACACTTCGATTCACAACAGAGGGACTCTCGAGGTGGAGGTCAGTCTCTCTTCATGACAGCCGAATAGAGCTGTAAGATCTCGGTCTCATGCTGATTTCTTAGGACGACGAGAATCTGTACTCGGATGACTCGGGCTCTTTTGTCAGCAGGTAGCTGTGCAGTGTCCGACACAAAGTCGACTTCATCTGATAGAGAAATGTAGTTCCGGCATCAGCGAAACAACTTCTGTCTCTTCCAGCGTCCGCAATTATCTGTACGTATGAATCCGGTCACTGCACTGCGACATCTAACCATGGCCAGGTACGAAGTCAGTACCTATAGATATAGACGCCTTGAGCAAGACTGAGAGCCCTAGAATGGTCGACGATATCACGCATTCCGAGAGGGCGCATACAACTTGGTATGTCTTTTTATCTCTCACCGAGGATTGGCTAACTGGTTCAACAGCCAAATGACGAGAAAGAACAAAGTCGTTTGGACCTGGTACTCATGTCAATCTCAATATGCAACGACGAAACTAACCCTGGAAGCACCACCATATCCATCGGTTGAAGCTGGACGGGCGACTATTCCGCTCCCCCATCCCTAGCGACGTCTCCCGAATTCTCGATCTGGGAACTGGAACGGGTATCTGGGCGATTGAAGTGGCCGAGTGAGTCTATCACATCGATGAGGTGGGTCGTGCTAATGTTGGTAGTCAATTCCCTGACGCGAAAGTCATTGGTATGCTCAACAAGTATTGACTCATGGCCAGTGTCTGACTCTCCCAGGAAACGACCTAAGCCCTATTCAGCCTACATGGTATGAATGACTGATGACTTTGGAGATCTGCTTGCTAATAACATGCCAGGGTCCCCCCGAATGTCGCCTTTGAGGTGGACGATTTCGAGTCCGAATGGGAATACTCCAAGCCATTCGACTTCATCCACGCCCGCGATCTGCAAGGCTCTGTGGCGGATTACGGTCGCCTGGTTGGACGCGCCTTTAAGAACCTGACACCCGGCGGATGGTTCGAATTCGCAGATGCCGACTTGATCGTCCGCTGCGACGACGAGACCATTAAGGAGGCAAAGAACCTGCTCGAGGTGAACCGTCTGGTATGCGACGCAAGCGCCAGGTTCGGCAAGCTGATGGGAACGGCCAACCAGCACAAGCAGCGCCTTGCAGATGCAGGATTCATCAATATCCGTGAGGATATTTACAAGGTCGGTGGGCAGTAATATCATGCTCACCGAAACTGGCCACTAATGTGAGACAACAGATTCCTCTATCGCCGTGGGCCAAGAACCCGAAGCTGAAGGAACTGGGCAAGTTCCAGCAGGTCAATATGCTAGAGAGTCTGGATGCTTACAGTTTGGCTCTGCTGACACGGGTTCTCGGCTGGCATGTCACTGAGGTTCATGCCCTCCTTGCAGGGGCCAGGACGGAATTGCTGAATCGTAACATCCACATGTATGCTCAGTGGTATCATGTCTACGGCCAGAAGCCAAAAGATTAGACAGACCAGTTGGTTTAGAACAGTAATCAAGCGCCTATCTGCAATTCCCTTATACTCACTTGAGCATTCACTAGCTGGGACGGTCTTACATCTTGTGACAGGAAGATATCGTTCTTTATTCACCACTCTGGACAAACCTGAGACACCCCCTTTCCACCCCTTTCTATCTTCTTTTCCCCTTCATCACTTTTTGGTTCCGACACAGCTTTGGTAGCTGTGGTCTTTCTGACGGCTATCTAATCCCCATTATCATGTTATAAATGCTTTAACGATTATCTGGTGTGGCCTAGATCCGGAATCTGACAGCGGAACCCAGACGACATCGCCATGACCTGTCTCCAAGGGAGGCAAGATCCCGTCTATCCTGCTGATGATAGATACTGATTACATGGCTTAAGTAGGGACATCCAATATCTATGTCAGAAATGACGGATATGACGCCTGAAGCGGGCGAAAGGTATGTCAAGAAGCTCAGAATATGGTAACACTTAACATAGATTCTAGGTGCTAACAGACTCACGGAGCACGCCAAGCGGTTTACCCTTTAAGCTGAGGACATGTGGCTGATGCTCGACTTAATCACCGATTACCAAGCAGCTGAGGGGCCTCTAACCCAACACTGAAGAGCCGCCACTGAAGAAACCCACCGACAGACAGGCTGCTTGGACCTAATTGGACCCTTGCGCAATACAAACAGGCGGAGGCGTTGATGCTCAATTGAGCAGCAGACAACAGGTAAGATTGATTCCTTTGCTCCCTTTGAAGTTAACATACCACTGACTCACAGTTGTAGGGGGTTCAGGCTGTGCAAATGCCGCCGGGAAGACTGTCCAATGATTCCCGGAATCGAATGCCTCCTACCATTCGTTCTCAAATCATAAAAACAGATATTCTGCTCTGTGGAAGACTAGACCTCAACCTCATCTCCCACTTTGCATCGCCGCCATTCTCTCAATACCCTCAACTCTCTGCGTGCGATGGAAGCACTTAGAAGTGCGTCTGTTGAAGCCAGCTTGGTCTCTACTTTCGATCACCCTCAGCTTCACCGGTCAGATGTCACTATGCCAGAAGTGAGCATATACTACCCTTCCTTCATAGAGAGTTCGATATGGTGGCCACGACGGATGCGTTTACCCAAGATTTGGACAAAGTCAATTACGTCGATGCTTCAATGGACGACCACAGCTAGAGTCCCGATTCTTGCTACATTCTGCTCTGATACATTTTAGTCTTATTCTGTACTTGAATCATATCCAGAGGTTTCACCATGACGCTTTACAGTGTGACAGGGCATGGTTCATCACGGTAGCATGTCTACAATACGTCATTGGAGCTACTTTTTCTTTCCTGATATCAGAACATAATGTCTCATTTTATAACAGCTGAATAACAGTACTTTTTGTGCGTTCCTTGACCAGAGACAGAATGTTGCCCTCAGGCACAATTGGCGGACAGTATCTCATCACTCTCATCCACATGGATGTTCAGTCTGTAAGAGGAATCAAGTCAGTCACAGACTATTATGGCGCATAGCGTCGGAGCAGACTCTACCTGGAAGCATTGTAGTCCATGGTGACCATATCTCCTGGATGGAGGATGCGAATGGGGTCGGATTGCAACGCGTTTTCCTGACCAGATTTAGTTTCGTCCCCAGCACGAGATATGTCAATACATACAATGGCATCAGTATATTTCTGACCGACCATCTCCTGCTTCACGAACTGTGCTTCGTTTTCGCATGTTTGAGAGTCGGCGAGGACGGAGCCGAGTCCAGCCAATGCAAGGAGAGAAGCAAGGGAGAGCTTCATGGCGTCAAGGGTTAAATATTCGAGTGAATTGGGTCAAGGAAGGATTGTTCTTGCTGATTTCTGGGAGATTAAGGCTGGGTCCTTGACTGGTTTATATATGTTGACTGACTGTCCAGCGCCACCTTAAAGGTTGTACAGCTGTTGCTTGGCCCACGTACACAGCTATATATAGACTGTTCAAACGATGATCTATAGATTGCCTCATTCCATAAGCACAGGCCGACAATCTGATGGATAACAATCAGCCAAGACGAGACATTTCTTTGGTATGAAAATTTTCCCTGCTCGGAGTGGTATTGATGCTATAGTCAGGCCATTGCCTGCATGTCTAGAAAGATTGCAAGGGTTCCTGGTATTTCCATTACTCATACTTACATACAGGGTGTCATTGTGACAAACAACTTGCAAGGTTATTCCTTCTAGACTCTAAAAGATTTCTCATGTATTGTTCATGTATTGAAGCAGTTGGACTTGAAAATGCTCTAGAATGAGGGTTGGCACTGAATTGATAGTTCACCGCGCCATCACCAAACCCAGAATGAATTATCCGACTCAGGCCGAAGGGTTGAAATTTCCATCGAGTTGGCTATGTCTGTCACCCGAAGTCAGAATTGACGCGACTGGGGCATGGTCCGTTGCTAACCGAGGCAGGGCGATGCCCTTATATGCGTAGTAAATATGCAACTGCGTGCAGAGATGTGGTGGACATGACATAGGGTGTCCTGAGGAAGCCAATTGACCAGGGGAAGAGAATCAATAGACGGTCTAGAAGTCAGACTATCTCACGATGAGGCAGATTACTATACAGGTAGGGTATCATCACACCTCCAAACGCCATATTCAAACCTCGTCTCTCCCTCTGAAGGGCCTCGAGGACGCATCCGACCTCTGATCATCCTGATACGAGACCCTCACATCCATCATCTGCATGATTTCATTCGTGTCCGCCTTCCTGCCTTCGATGTCACACATCTCGAACCCCTGCGTCGACACATTATTCGAATAACTCCCACCGCTACCAGGGAGCTCACCCCAGGCCATATCCTTCCGATCCTGCAAGGACTGCTCACTCCCAGGGGTATTCTGTCCTCTACCGTGTGATCGACTGCGTCTGGAGGGGTGTGCCGAGTGCTGAGAACCGAAAAGGCGTGGGAGACACCACTGCAGCGGTTGGTTGTAGACGGGAAGACAGGCGCAGATGATACCAACGTTGGCTTCGATAACGCTCCAGATTGTAGCGGGGATGGGGCCGCCTATTTTGTCAGTGTTCTTCGTTACTCTGATGATTAGGGCCTTACTGGTAGGATCTTTGTTGTCGGCTGATTCTGCAAGAGTGGTTGTACGGACGATGCTCGTTGCGCAGACACTGTTTCATTAGCCAAATCGGAATGGAAGATGGGTCGAGGCATACAATGTCCCCATGCTGAATAACACTGCCAAAGCAATCTTCTTCCCGCGCGCCAGATGTAGTTTCGAGATAGGGTACAGCGGCAGCGCGAGGATAGCCACGTCGCTAAGGATGTTGATGACGGCATATGACAACCACTGCGTTTTGCTGTTGACGCAAGTCTTCTGGGTGATGCTCTTGTCCCAGAACGAGGCAACGGGGGTGCATTGGAAGATGGTAACGAGTATATAGGCGAGACCCCAGGCGACAAGAAACACAACCCCGCCGTAGCAGACACGGCGAAAGATGGGCTGGATAAAGATCCGAAGATAGAGACACAAGAAGGAGATCTTGTTCACAGTGATGACGACTTTGTACATGACTTGGGCGGCGAAGAACCACTGTCCTCGTCACTCATCAATCATAAGAGGAAAGGCTTAGATCATACCTTCAGGGCGATGACTCGGTCATGCACATCGATGTCTTTTGAGTGTTTTCCATATCCATAATGCACCGCTGCCAGTATCAATAGAGTCCAGAAAAGTAAAAGGTGGCCTATCCTTACCCGAACATTCGGTCACCGACAGCAACACAGATGATATCTATGATCGTCAGCAGGTGTATGCCAATGCGAGGATGATCATACCAGCGACGCCAGGATGATCCAGTCATCGGCCCCAATATGACGATTGCGAAACCGAATCGCAAACCGGCCCATCACAAAGAAGCCGGCCAGAATCACCATGACCACACTCCAGATCCATAGTGTGAAGCCGCGATTGGGCACAGTAGGCGTGCTCAGTCCAATCTCGTACGGCATGCCAGGCGAGGTTCCTCATCATGTATGCCACGACCTGCTGATAGAAGGATCAGCGTCGTCTATATTATCGGAACGAAAAACAGCTTGGTTAATATCCGGCCGATTGATCGGCGTCTGTGCCGGTCTATTACTTCGCTTGGCAATGGAATCCGCATTCCGCAATCAAAGTCATTTCCTCAGGCTTCTTGGCATTTCGTCGGAAAACCCCGCGATTTTTGTAAGCATTCATACAATCATTATCCCTAGATATTATGGCGCGCGGCGGAGCATGACTGCATGAGGGTGGATGCAGCGGGAATGGTGATGTGATGGTGGAGCAGATCGGGAGATGAGCCATGGAAAGCCATGTAGATGGATCGATCGGGGATGTTCCACGACGCTGGAATGCTACCTTAATTGCCTCGAGACAGAGTCCGTCGCCGTTGCGAAAGTGAACAGAGGCTTGTCCTGGCTCTGCTTAACCTCTTCCAACCTGTCTGTCCTGCTGAGCCACATTCAGTTTATAGTTTGAAGCCGGCCAACATTCATGGTTCAGATAAACGAGACTCCTCAATCTCTGTAATATACACAGCTCCATCGCCTTTGAACGGAAGCTCGAAGAGACAAGAAAGTCGTGACAAATGGCTGCGGCGCCACCCGACAAGTGGACCGTGTCGGGCATTCCGGCGGAGCACTGCCTCGTTTCGGGGGGGATCGACGCCCTTGGATTACGAGAAATATCCTAATATATTAGCTCTGATGCAATCTTTTCCTTCTGGACGGACTGCTTCATCAGACCCTGCGCCATGGTTCGTTTCAGCATCTGGAACTCCCTGGGTGCTGCCCTTTTGGTCACTTCTACCCCAGCATATGCCCAATTCCTTCCGAATCCCCGTTTCCAGCGCGATGCCGCGGTGGGCACTCGCGTACAGACCAGCAGTGGCCTAATTGAGGGTCATGCTGCGTCTCGAACCGGGGTATCCGAGTATCTGGGGATCCCTTATGCGGTTTCTCCCACGGGAGATCTCCGATTTGCTCCTCCGGTCCAATACCACAGCAATGGGACCGTCCTCGCCAATGCTTATGTACGTATGTTTGCATGCAGAGCTCCAGTGAAGGACTGACCTTTCGTAGAGCCCGTATGTGATTCCACCGGAAACGAGTGCTCAGTTCTGATCGTTGTATGACAGGGATTGTCCTGCCCATATTGGAAGCCTACCGGATTTTCCTGGCCTCACTCCGCAAGGAGCCACCATTTTCAAAACCTTTGCTCAGCAATTGGGGACTCCTCAGAGTGAGGATTGTCTCTACTTGAATGTATGGACTAAGCCAACACGCAAGTTGAAACCGGTTTTGGTTTTCATCCATGGTGGTCGTATGTTTCTTCCCGCCGTGTGTATCCCAACTCCTACTGACGAACGCAGGATTCAGCGTTGGAGGAGCACACAGCCCCATGTACGACGGTGAGAACTTGGTCGCCGAGAATGACGTCGTCGTGGTCACCTTCAAGTCAGTGATCAGTTCCCGTTGCGCTGTGCGACACTGACCGGATAGTTACCGATTGAACATCTTTGGTTTCTCGGGAGCCCCTGGCCTCACACAGAACGTCGGTCTGCTGGACCAGCGTATGGCTATCGAATGGGTGCATCAGAACATCGCCGGGTTTGGAGGCGACCCTGGTCGTATCACCATCTTCGGACAGTCGGCTGGAGGCGCTTCGGTCGACTACTACTCGTATATCTGGACGGAGAAGCCGTTCGTTACCGGCCTCATCTCGCATTCCGGCACAGCATTGAGCTTCAAGCCCAACACCGCCGAGGAATCCGCGAGTTACTTCTACCACGTCTCGAACACTCTAGGCTGCGGCAACAGCAGCGATCCTATTGACGCGGTGGTCGCATGTCTCCGCGAGCAGTCATTCCAAACAATCCTCGCGGCTGTGAAGAAAGTCCCTTACGCGCCCTCCCCGGCTCTTCCTGAACCTCAATTCCATCCTACCGTGGACGGCGTCACGGTCTTTGACAATTACGCTGAACGCTCCGCGCAGGGAAGGTTTATCAAAGTGGTAAGCTGCGTCCCCAGACCTACGCATGCCACTCTAACGCAGACTAGCCGTACCTCTTCACGAGCAACGACAACGAAGCAGGCTACTACCGCGTCAACGCCTTCGCTGCCAATATCTCGCTCACAAACGAGGAATGGCACCAGTTCAATCTGGCCGCGTTTACCTGTCCCACCGGCCAAGCGGCGGCCGATCGCGCCGCGCACGGGGTACCTACCTGGCATGCGCGGTACTTTGGCGACTTTTGGAATTTGAGACTGTATGCGACCAGCGGGGCTTATCACGGTGTCGATCTGCATATGGTCTTCGGGACTGCGGAGAATATCACTGGGATCCCTGATTCTTGGGTGGAGAAGCGAACGAGCAGGTATATGTCCTCCGCTTGGGTGGCGTTTGCGACGGATCCGCACGTGGGGTTGGATAACCTTGGATGGCCGAGATATCATGCTGACGGTGAGTAAATCAGAGGCTGGGGGTGAAATGAGTTGATCCTAACGTCGAACAGAGAACACACTGATTGGACTTGGGTATCGGAATGAGACCCAGGTGCAGCTGTTGGATCCGGCCGTGTACCAGCAAGGCTGTGCTGCGCTGGACGGGGACACGACTCTTGGAAAGGGGGCTTTCTAGGCATTCTGTTGCATCACTACTGTTGAAGCCATGGATCCGGGTGACAAACTCTATCAGTATTTACTTCGGCGCTTCATTAGCACCAAATCACGACGCAAGTCCTGATGGAGACTGCTCTATTGGAAATATCCTCTCAGTCCCCTCATACTGGCATCCCCATGTTACGTGTTTAGCTCAGCACAATTGACAGTGTCAAAAGGAATCCATATTGAGGTCCAGGATATCATAGGTGGTATATTCGAAGGAGCAAGCGTGGGACCAAGATACATGAGATAAACCGGGAAACAAAGAACTAACTGTTCTGCGTGTCGATAATACTCGCGGCCAACTCTCTGAGACCCCCCCTATGGATGCAGCTTACACCCCACACACGGTTCCGGTGGCTGCTCACTATAAAGGATGTCTGGGCGAGGAGCTCCGCCAACATTCAAATACCCAACTGCCCCCTTATCCATGCGAAAAATCGCATGGTCAACGAGCGTATACGTCCCCGGTACGATCATCTTCAGATCCACAATTGCTGCACCCCCCGGGGGCACACTAACGGTCGACAACAACCTGGCCGGGGGATCAACAACCCCTCCATCACGGAAGACCCGCTGGAAATGGCTCCCGATTACGTGAAATGCACTCGTGAGGTTTGGCCCGGCATTTCCGAAGAAGATACGCGCCGACTCCCCCGTCTTCGCCTTGAGCGGTCGATCCCGCGTCAGCGCCGACTCGCTCCCGTTGAACACCACGGCGGTGGGCTCCTCGCGCAGCGCAGCAGGGTAGGAGAACTCCACCGTGGGCGAGGGTCGGCCATCCTCCTCGATCTCTGGTGGTTCGTGGTAGAACTCGCTCTGCATGACGTAGTACTCCCTGTCGGCGCGGGGAAGCAGATGGCCGTCTTCGGGCTGGACGTAGATCAACCCGTACATGCCGTTGGCGATGTGCACGGGGACCGGGGCCGCGGCGCAGTGGTACACGAATAGGCCCGGGTAGAGAAGCTTGAACCGCGCGGTTTTGGTCTCGTTTTCCTCGGCGGTGGTGACGGCTGCTCCGCCGCCGGGGCCGGTGAAGGCGTGGCAGTCGATGTTGTGCGGGTTGCCGGTGCGGTCGTGGTTGGTGATGGTTAGCTCGACCACGTCGCCTACGCGCGCGCGGATAAAAGGTCCGGGCACGGTGTCGTTGAAGGTCCACGTTTCGTACTTGTATTGACTTGTGAGTTGGCGCTTTTTGGTGGTGGTCGTCAGTGGGACGCGGAGGAGAACTGGGTGCGTGCGGGTGATTGGGGGAGGGACGCTAGGAGCAGTGGTCAGAATGGCGTCCTCTTTGGGCAGTTTAAGAATGTCGTCTTGAGCTTCCTCGGGAGGAGTTGGGCAGGTTGGTTGATGAACAGATGTGTCCGCTTCGAGCTGGATAGGACGACGCTCGTAGACTGACAAGAACAAGCTGCCTCCGAGGATAGTAACAACCAGCCATGGCCAGACTTGAAAGCGCTCTTTAGGCTGCTTCGAGGTTGGATTTGCTTTTGTGCCAGTTGAGAGTGGTCTTCTCTGGGCCATTCCACTGCATGTTGGTTTCATCATCCATTCCCATGGTGGGCCCCGTCTGAACCACAGTCTCCCAAACGATACATATCTGGACATTTTGATGTATTTAGTCCGAACTGCTCTCCAGAGTCCTAGGATATGGGTGAACTATCCTAGCCGTGGACATGTATAAGTAGTGGAGTGGTGATGTCATGAGTTCATTTCCGGCGACTATAAAGTTGAGCAACTCCGCGGATGTACAGCGTCTGCAATACTCGAGCTATATATCTCTTTGAGACTCGTGGAGATATTGTGACTTCTTCTCTGTACTCAGTAGGTCTGTGAGCTGCCATGAGCTCTTCGACAAATCCCGTTTGGACGAGGATGACAAGACATCAGGGATTCCCTGTCAACGTTGCATTTCCGCCGTATTGCTCTGCCTGATCCTCCAATCATGCTTATAGCAAATTGTCTCTGAGAGGATGCCAGCCCTTTCATATTAGTTGGAGGTTGCATTGCATACCATGGTCAACCTACAGATCAAGGAGCATTCGCAAGGGACCAAGCTTGAATGGTATCCTCATGGCAGAGACATGACAAATACTTGTTTCTTTGCAGAAGATTATCCAGAATGGTTGACGGCCAAGCCATCACAAGAGATCAATCCTCGCCAGAAGAAGGCTCAAAGGGGAGAATGGGCTGGCGCTCTGCGCTTGAGATCATGTACTTTTATCCCTCTTGAAAGGCTCCCTTGCAACAGGCCAACAACAGTACCTCTCTTGAAATATAGTAGAATATTTGTCAACCAGAGAGAGGAAGAGCCAAACCCTTACTGTCAAGAGGAGTAGATGGAGATTAGCCCTGTGGATTTGCATAGTTGAGTACACTAATCTGCCAAATTCGCAAGACAGTGCTCAGGTATTCTAGGATGATCCTTCATAATACTTTAGACACATGTCAAGCTACTGAAATGATTCTTTAAGTCCTACATGCTTAACAATAGGCGGTCTACGGCTTTTTTGTGGAACAGACTCTCGTGAACAAATGGCTACTATCTCATGTAGACAGAAAAGATAGATTGGGATTCAACTTTAGTTTACAAACGGCGAGAGGCAGCTGCATCGGAGGTTAGATGTTTATTCCGCCACCAGAGTCAATAATAAAGAGCAGACGATCGACTGTTGCGTAGAACGATGAGTTGTGTTCATATTTCATGTCTACTTTCCTCGGGGGTCGATAACCGAAAAGGGATCAGCATTGTACCTCGGCTGCTGAACGAGCGGGGCCACTGATCGATGTGACGGTCCATCCTTCAGAAATTTGGACAGAAGAGATGCAATACTTTCTACCAGACTGAATCCTCTCATTCGATCTGGCTATTCTGTCACCCGTATAACCAATGACACTAGGCCCCGAAATAACCAGACCGACTCGGAGTCTCGCAGGCCGAGTAGCCATCGTGACTGGCGCAGGCGCAGCAGGCGATGGGATCGGCAATGCGCGTGCAGCAGCCATTCTACTAGCTGAAGACGGCTGTTCAGTCGTATGCGTGGATATCAACCTAGCGCTGGCCGAGCGCACAGTGGAAATGATCAAGGCCGAAGGAAAAGGCGACGCTATTGCCGTGCAGGCAGATATCACGGTTGCTGCCGACTGCGAGAGAGTCGTATGCACCACGAAGCAGCGATATGGAAGATTGGATATCCTCTTCAACTGTGTCGGGGTGGGCGGCGCGGTGGGTACGGCCGAGACGGTCGATATGGAGCAGTGGGCACAGGGATTTAATATCAATGTCTCGAGTATGGTGTTGATGGCCAAGTATGCTATCCCGGTCATGAAAAGTAATGATATTACCCGTGGCTACCGCGGAAGTATCGTCAACATGGGCAGTGTGGCAGGGATAAAGGGCGGCACTCCCCATCTGCTGTATCCCACCACCAAAGGCGCAATCGTCAATATGACCCGCGCTATGGCGGCGCATCATGCAAAAGACGGCATCCGAGTGAATTGTGTTTGTCCGGGAATGGTGTATACGCCCATGATGTACGCAAAGGGGATGAGCCCAGAGGCAAGGGAAGCACGGCGGAATCGCAGTCTGCTCAAGACGGAGGGGAATGGATGGGATGTCGGCGCCGCTGTACGGTTTTTGGCTGAAGACGAGGCCCGATGGATGACAGGAGTAATCTTGCCAGTTGATGGAGGGACGACAGCAGCAGTTGGGATGGAATTGCCTACCAGCGCGAGTGTAAATGGCTGAACTCACTGTACGCACCTGCAAGCGCAATAGGTTGTAATTCAACTCAAAGAGACCGGAAGTAATAATCGGCATACTTGTCGTCTCACTAGTATTCCATACCCATAAATGCATTATTGAGACAGACAATAGACGCTAATCGGGGTCTGTTGTCGGCATTCGGCTATCATCTCCGTGCTCTGAATATAACCCCGCTGCTGACTCTCTGCACCTCAACTTCAGGAATGCCTCACAATTGATCTGGGACAGACCGCATAGACAGCAAAGATGGCAGACTACTCGGAATACACCACACCTACCGAAGAATGGATTGCTTTGGAGAAGACACTTCCACCACCGCCCACGGATTTGGATGTCTATGTTCTGAGAGACATGATCAACCAAACTCGGGAGGAGAAGGCCGCTAATGCCATGGTGAACGAGGGTAGGTTAGCTGCGATAGGAACTGCATATACTGACATAGCTAGGACTGCAATGTCAAGTCTCGATGCAAGATTATTCCGTCCCAGCAAGAGACGGCTTTCCGTTGGAAGTACGCAGCTACCGTCCTGCCGGTCTACCGTCTTCCCAGCGCCTCCCGGTCTACATCCATCTCCACGGGGGTGGATTTCTCTTCGGCACTCTGGCCTCTGAAGACGCGATTTGTTCCCGTATCGTCGTTACTCTGGCCAAGGAAAATACCCCTGTCGTGGTTGTGAATGTCAACTACCGCCATACCCCCGAGTACAAGTACCCGATCGCCTGGCACGACGCTGCAGACGCCTTCCATTGGGTCCATGACCATCTTGCGGAGCTGGGTGCGGATGGCGATAATGTCGTAGTCGGAGGCATATCCGCCGGCGCATGGATAACTGCGTCCTTGATTCTGACGCAGCACCTGGGCACCGACGAGCAATTGGCCAAGCGACCGAAAATCAAAGGACAGGTGCTCATGATCCCGGCATTGGTGGGCCCCGGCTGCTATGCACCGCAGCTAAAATACCTCAAGGATCCGAAGTTATCCAGTTACGTGGATAATGAGCATGCTCCGATCCTCCCGGTGAGCCGGATCAATATCTTCATGGGACTGCTGGAGTGCAAGGGCGAGGAGACCGATCTGATGCTCAATCCGGGAAATGCCACTGCGGAACAGGTCAGGGGATTGCCTCCTACGACGTTTGGGATAGCCGGACGGGATCCACTCCGGGATGAAGGGTTGTTTTTCGGCAAGTTGTTGACAGATAATGGGTGAGTCAGCATCAGTCATTGTGAGTGAAGCATACTGACTCAGTAGGGTCCCCACGGACGTTCATGTCTTTCCTGGTTTGCCGCACGGCTTCAGAGGGCATGCGACGCTGTCCGAATGCAAGCGATGGGATTCGGTGATGGCGCACGGGGTGCAATGGGCGCTGAGCAACCCGGCGGCTACGGGAGTGTTTGAGATCAAGTCAAAATAGTAGAATAGGCTACGCCTGACATCCGCAAGGCATTGACTCGTCCAGAATCCTGACATCCATCAGGGAAGGATTTGCAACGTGTTCGCATGTATGCCAGTATATACATCATCTCAGTGAAGTGACAGGTTACCCCTGGGTCCCGGTCTCTGCATGCCTCTTGATGTAGGTCTCGAGCAACCCCGGATTGGCGCCAACCACCTTATCAATGTAGTCGCCCCCTTGGAAAAGATAGAAACTAGGCATGGACGACACTCCCAACTCCTGTGCAACATCTGGGACTTTGTCGACGTCGACCTTGAAGAATTTGACATTGGCGTACTGGTTGCTGAACAGCTCCACCTTGGGAGCGATGGCCTTGCACGGGCCGCACCAGTCCGCGTAGGCGTCCACCAGCACCAGCATGTTGTCTGCGACGGCAGACCGGAATGCTTGCAGACTATGGCATGCTGTTAACACAAGAGTATTCAAGAAGACAAGCGGCATACCTGGTTAGTTCTTCGACGCCCATTGTATCTGATCTTGTTTACGAAATGATGGAGTAGAGTAGTTGAGAGGAACTGGGGATGGGACGAGACGGGGAGAATTAAGAAACAACAGATCCGGTTGTTGCCAGAGGAATGACATCACAATGTCTTGGCTGAGTCAGCATGATGAGTAACTAAGGGCTCTCCTGTCTTTAGGGATACAGGTGTTGGAAATTGTCGGATTCCACGTAATCTGGTAATACCTATACGGGTGGAATCAGAGCATGTAGAGGTCAAACTGGGACATATTCTTGCTGTGTCCAAGAATGTATGTATTTTTCTATGTAATGAGCGACATGACCAGAATACGTGTGCGCTCTGGTCAGAATAGACTAACTAGAAATGGCAATATAGGCGAGTGTAAAATATACAGTCTGGTACCATAGATACGGTGCTATGACAGAAATGCTCCGAATAGGGGATATTGTCAGGATTCCATCCCGTTTAGGTTTAGCGTCCCGACTTAGTCAGCCTATATATAGTTGGCCCCTGAGCCATCCTAATTGGACACTTGGCGCTTCCCGATTCTCTCAGGTTATGGCCCTATG